AGTCGATGATGCTGGATGTTTTCCCGGATTGAGGTGCCTGCAGCACAACCAAATACCCGTTTTTTAATCACCTAGTTACTAACACGTTGACTCCATCCACAACTAGCCACGCTTCTGAGGCATCGGTGGTCGAAAACCTGAAGACGCCTCACATCATCTACCCGAAGAGGTCATGTCTCGCACCCATACAACAACACAGCCCTTACTGTAGCCTGGTACACACGACCCTTAAGATCCAGTGAGATGCCTTTTTGACGCCACAAGTGACGCAAATTAGCAAACGTGATTCGAGCCTTTGAGATTCTTGCACTGACTTCATCAGACACACTTCCGTCAGAGCTAATACAACTACCGAGGTATGTATGCGATGAATTTGTAATCAAATACCAGTCACAGCCGGACAGAGTCAATCGCTATCCCTACAGGGAGCGATACCAATAATACCATGGGAGAATCGTACCAAATGTCGCGGCTAGTGAGGAACTTCTATTGTGGACCTGAAGAGCTTCTGAGAGTATTGGAGTGACTTCCACATTCGCACACAATCCGACTATGTGATATCGATGCTCCCCCTTGGGTTTTGCCAATGGCGTGCGCCATCTTTACTCGATTTAATATACCTGCCTGTCGAAGGGATTTGGTGAGGGGGGGATGTTTATCCTCAGATTCAAACAGCCCCTTGGAGTTGATCGTTAAGTGGAAATCGAAAACGTGGAAGCATGACAGGTCACTTAGAGATTGGGTTACTCTCTTAACAAATTGCACGAATTTGAGGTTCAGGACACCCTAAATGAGGAATACGACTCGGTCATTTATAAGAAAAGGGCCATCACACTCATAGGCAGTTAATATAATATAACCACTTTTCAGCAAAGATTCCCTCGCATAAATGGTTAGAATGGCTACCGTAGCAAAGGAAAACAGATCGGAAAAACCCACCTGATCTACTGACATAGACAAACAGGCTGACTTGATCAGTGCATTCACTCGCACCACCGTGTCCGCACCAGATCCCTCAGCAAAAACGCTCTGGAACTGCTGTTTGGCCTCCGCTGCACGGCCCGACAAAGCCAGGTAGGTCGCATGCAGCAGTTTCGCCTTGTTATACGCCGCTTTTGCTTTTGCTATCTGATCAGCAGTCGGTTTCGTGGACGGAGATTCCGCTGGGTTTGGTTCCACGGTCTCCCCTGCGTTTAGGCCATTGATCGGGACAGCTGACGTCGGGTTAGTGGCACTGTCATTGGGTTCATCGCCATCGGCTGTCGGCTTGGATGATTCTGGTGGAGTAGGATTTGCTAAAGCCTGCGAAATTGTCGGAGAAACCAGTTCGAGGAGTATGACTCCATACAGTTATCAAAAATTAGCAAAACAGAATGCTTGTGGGTTATGATTCATACCATTTGTCTCAGCCTAGGGAGACTATGGATAAACGCTCGCTCCACGTGAGCGAGCATCAACTGCACCCCAAATAGAATTACGGCAGTCGTGGTACTGTCCTGTACTCAGTGTTGACAGTTTTGCAAAAATCCTGCAGCTAGCTGGTACACATCCTTGATTTCTTTCTCTTAGGCATCCACTGCGCACTCACGGAAGATTTGTGAACTGAGCTTTAGTTGAAGATGGCCTGATGTATGGTGAGGTAGTTCTGATCAGGGGAAAAGGGGATCAACAAATTCTAGCCTATCTAAGGAGGATTATCACAAAGACCCAAAGTTTATTACATTTGGAGTGCTTGTCAACGTTTTCTACGCCGTTTAGCCCAAGAAACATCCGAAATGAGAAGCCATCTCGTGAGGGAGCAGTCGCCGAGATGTGCGACAGTTTAACTCCTCAATAACTGGGGACGGGTCGGTGTTATCAGTGAAATGAGGACAAACTCTGACAATACATATTCGATTCCTGCAGTATCGCGACAAAAATTATTCACGTAAAGGACGGAATTATTCATCCGTTTTTGTTTCGCTAATTAAATAAGGCAATAGTTTTCAACAATGGAGGGATTTAGAAGCTGTAAGGAACACAGATTCATAGACGCGCTCTTGCATCAATGGTTGTGAACCCGTTTCAGCTTGCTTTTGAAGGCCGCCAAGATCCGCTTACTCATTCGTATAGATCGTTACTAGCAATCCGTTAGTAAGAATTGGAGCCCTACGCTTGAAAGTTTTCCGTACATCTAGCAACCAGACCAAAGCCTTTGTACTTAGATTCGAAAAACAGATCAAAACCAGTTTGAATAATTCTTGGTACATCGTGTCAATTCTAATTTCACAGGTAGTCACAGTAAGCGATGCTTTGTCATGTGAGGTGTTGGGAGAACACAAGACGCCATTCATTGCAGTTTTCACTGCGCTCACATAATCACATTACGAAAAGCTAATAAGCAATCTCCTGGACCAGATTATCGCAACTGCACCAATACCTATCATCCGACCGGAGTGGAACAGGGCCTGCCAGGCTGATCTAACTACTGTTCTTCGCCTAGCGCCCAATTATTACCTACAGTGCACTATTTCGAGAGGTGGGCTGGACTAGGAAAGCGTAATTAAGGAGGGTTCCCAGTCCGTGAGATTATTTTATTTTTTTATTACAAACACGAGAATCGCAAAAAAGAGATAACTGATGGTGAGGGACCCCCTGCCAAGACGGCAAACTAAGGACAGCGAAATGCGTGCAAAAGTTTAAACCACAAGTCGGTAACTGGTCGGCTCAGAGGGCGGTGGAGTGTGCTAGAAGGCATTTACAGGAAGGTTGGATAGTTAACGCAAAAAGAGAAAGGTTATCGGAACCCACGATGTTTCATGCTTCCTACCTCTTTCGGAAATACATCACACCTCGCGGACAATCCACAGAGCCATCGTGTGTATATGGTTCCGGGAAGCACATATCCGAAACAGTTCTGAAGCTAATTTACCTTGTCTAACATTCGATTAGAATATGTACAGTTCGAAATAAAATCGACAACTACCTAGCTGGCAACACTATTGAAGCAGAAAAACGAAGTACACAAAACTGACAGCAATGTGCGGAAAGTTATGGCACAGATTACAGTAGGGACGAGATCAGCACAACTAAATTCGACAACAAGCAGGTAAATGCGGCTGGCAAATAATATGCCCGGAAGCCGAATCGCAACCAGTTACAGAAAATCTAAACCTGTTAACTTTAATGACTGCATAAATCGAAGGTCTTAAAGTGTGCCACAGCAAGGATGTAACAGGAAAGTCACATCGGGACAGCAGAAATGCTCGAATGAGATGTATATCACATTTCGCCAAATCATACAGACAGCAACACACAAAACGAGCATCACCGAACCAGTGAACACTGCTCATTGATAGATACAGGGATGTGGGAAGACATGAATGAAATTAATCATTTTTTTAATGTTCAACAAGTGTGAGTGGTAAGCAAACAATAAATCGGGCGGAACAAGCTGAATAATGAATAAATGACTGTATGTCGGAAGTGCCGAACAGCTAAGTAGATTGCGAGAAGTTCACGGCCAAAAGTGCTATATCGAGTCTGTGCAGGTTGTAAGCGATGCGAGAAGAATGATAAAGGCTGTATTTCACCGTGGACCTCATGTTGTAGAGCTGCACCAACTGCGGTTTGTGAGGCATCAGTAACCAGAACAAGAGGTGTAGACGGATCAGGATTTATATGTGCCAAATTGGTTGCCTGATTTAACACATACTTGACTGTTTCAAATGACCCAGTGACCTCCGCCGTAAGAGTGAAGTTACGATGCAATGCGAGGCGATGCGATGAGATGCGATGGAATGCGATGCGATGCGATGCAGTAGGGCTGAGATACTGCCAGGTTGTCCACGTCTGGACAGAAGTAGTTGAGATGCATAGGCTGGGTTCGAACCAGCAGCCTTAGGGTTATCAAGTCCGCGCCATAACCACTGAGCCATGTTGAGCTCAACAAAACAAGCTGAAGCAAACTGGCCACATAAATCACGTTAAAACTTACTAATTCGAACAAGGAAACACAACTAGCCGCAGAGGTCATAGAAGCCTCATAGTCTCCTTTGGCCAGCGAATCCAGCGCCTTCTCTAGCATGTCATACGCCTCCCGGAATGGTCCTGTTGACACAGGCGGACTGGGTAGGGTGGAATCCAAGTCGGTACTATCGACTTCATGCGCGTTTGAACTCTCGTTTCCGCTAGACTCATCTGCCGCGCCATTGACTGCGGATACTGGTTTCTTTGAAGGGACTGATTTGAGGAACGGATCCCAAGCAAATGCACTGCAGATAAACGGGAAACATAAAGTACTAAAGTTCATACAGGCAATTAACAGTTTTCAGTTAGTAAACACCACAGTGATCGAAGGCCGAGGCGGCGGAAATCGTCAGACTTTTTAATATGAATAGAACAGAGCCGGTGAGTGTATGGAGAACGGTTTTTGGCCAGCTGAGCTAACACATGACGAGGGGAGTTAGTATTAAAAGTTTAGGGATAACATAGAATGTCCAACCCGACCGGTAGGCATTTTATTCCTGTTAACTCAAATGTTCCAAACGACAAAAACAAAATCCTTCAGCAGTGCCCCTATAATCAGGAGGAAGCACGCGGGCTTAGATGTTGCATGATTGCCCAAGTCCAGACAGGAGCACTATGAAAGTAGGTTCCCACAATCCGGTCAGTAGCCCTAATCAGTAACCGCTAACCCAACTCGAGATCAACCGATTTAACACTGGAATAAACCAATGAAACGTCGTAAAATACAGTCACGAGGTATGTTGGATTGGAATTTCAGGAAGAACCACACCTCGAATCCGACTCAAATTCACCCATGTTTCCCACCACCCACACTGACCAGCAAAATATTTTGGGCGAATTCTGACACCGATTAAGAGCTCTTGCTGATTGATTCTTGTTATGTATTGAAACTAGACCAAACGCGAAGCCTGATCACTCACATTGACGAAGCTTTTACGACAAAAGCGAAGTAGTGGTCGGTCTGCCTGTTCCCCCAGTTCTTCCCTATTATTCAGTTCAGTCTCCAATCAATCCAGGAAACCCCAGTGTGACAGGCACCAACTTTTGACGTCACCCTTCAAAGTGTGGGTAATCACAGAGACTATTCCATGGTCTACATGCGTCTGTACATTGAGTACACAATCCATTTGTGTTCTGGGGCTTGGTTATCCAAGGCGGACAGTAACTTTGTATAATAGGAATCATCCATACAAGGGAAGTTCTACTAGTGAGACCTCCTCGTGCGATGCGAGGGTAGTGAACTTAAAAATGCCGGAATACTGGTCTGCAGCTATCTTACGGTGTCGAATGTCGTTCATTACGAGCTACTTTGAGGTTGCTATCGATGTAATATAAGGCAAGGTAAAACAAAGCCACCCAGCTACCATAAAGTCCGAAAGAAACATGGAGGCTAAGACATCGATAAGTCGCTACAAGCTAGATGGAAACTAAATGTGTGCATACCATTCATAGACCAGGTCGTCAGTAGCTCGAGTGGTGATCCCTCAGCTATACCGTATTCGTACTCACCTCAAATAGTTTCTTATGAAGGCGGCTGCAGGCAAAGTATGCGGAATAGTGTTCCATTCAGTCAACGCTTTTTGTTGTCCAATCTTCTTCAAGGTCTGATCCATGCAGATAATGTTATCCTATGACGGAGAACAGATATGACAAGCGTTTGAAAGGAAGAGTTCGCTTTGGATTCAGTAAATGATGGAAGTCTTACACCAGACTTTAGAACAAACAACAAGGTGTAAAGGTTGGTAATGTGTCGAAATATTGGCAGCTCAGGTGAATTTATTGGTTGCTGATTAGGTGACTCAGGTGGCTGTTGATCTGTTCGCCGAGCTCGGCACCTGACTTGCAAATGTTTCGTCACCATACGTGGAGACAACATCAAGGGGCAGCCGGGTGGACACCCCCTGTTTGCCTGTGTGCATTTTTATAGCGTGTAAGGGCTATCTGTTATCTCCTGACGTGATTGGCTAGTTGGTTGACAGCGTTTTTCGTGACTTCACGAACGGATCAATAAAGTCACAATAAACGCTGTCAACCAACTAGCCAATCACGTCAGGAGATAACAGATAGCCCTTACACGCTATAAAAATGCACACAGGCAAACAGGGGGTGTCCACCCGGCTGCCCCTTGATGTTGTCTCCACGTATGGTGACGAAACATTTGCAAGTCAGGTGTCAAGCTCGGCGAACAGATCAACAGCCACCTGATCAACAACCGATAAGGTGTAAAGGTCTTAATGCGTGTTTTTAATCAATTATAACCATTGGGGCCTTTGATGGACTTTCATCTGAAAATTGAGGAAGCTGCCGAATTCAGTGCTGTTAATTTGTCGTCCGTGGATCATTAATAAGAGCTGACACACAGATTGTTTACCAAGCCTTTATGAATCGAAGAACTGACCTGTAAGGATGGTCATTCTTAGAGTGATCGTTTATCCAGGAAGAGTTGCTGCCAGAAGGCGTGACAGGAACATTACAATCGAGGAGTTGGTCACACCTTGTCCTTTGTAATTGAAAAGTGACCACTCTTCTGGGGGGACAAGGCTAAAGAGTAGGGTGACCAGCTACCAACGGGAAAGTTTCCGGTTTGAGTCTCTGCTTGGAGATTCGTGAGATATGCATCACTGGTGATTTCTTATAAGGATGAGACAGCCTCCAAGTTTTTAATTATGGAATGACTGCTTTAGGGGACGAATCGAATCAGTGAAGACTTGGGAACTTACCGCATTTTTGAACTCTTCAAAAATACAGCATGCTACAACATCCGGTAAGCAGTCCGTCCACTGCTCCAATTTTTCGTACAAATGCGCTCGACGATTGAGGGCTTTCAAATACCGGGGAGAAAGTTCTAGGGCTGATGTACAATCCACAATTGCAGATTCGTACTGCCGTTGATTCTCCTTCGCCGCCGCACGATTTTGGAAAAGTGCCGCACGTTCCTGTGAGGGAAGGGAGGGAAAGTGACTGGAAACTACTTAGTTCCACACGCCTGAATGTCTCAGGGACCAAGTCCGGCAATGGACCGCAGCTACAAGATCGAAAACCACTATGATTGATTGGGCATCGCAAAGAATGCAAAGAATAAACATGACCTTCAGTGAAGGACACACTTGTTATATATAGAGTGGAATTTCTATTGACACTCAGACTGCGGTGTGTCTACAGTGCTGTTAAAGATCAGTACTGGCCAGCAGGTAACAGAGAAGTAGGAAGTACTTCTCAGTAATAATAGATAATTGTTTAGCTGCAACACCCTTACGGTGGCTAGCTCCGCGGTAGCAGATGTGTGCGAAGCAAGCGACTATTTCAAGAGACCCAATAGACGGACACCATTATTACAAAGGCTAAGTCTTATACCCAGACGACACCAATTGTAACACTGCACAGAAGAAACACAGCGATATCTCCATAGGCGTCCCAAACCAGCACTCTGCTTTCTTTGGTGATTAATTGCGGTTTCCTAGTACCCAAGAGATAGATTATATTCTGTACGCAAGCGGAAATCCACACGGATCCCGCTTTACCGCCTGCAGTCAGGTGCTGCTCCGGCCGAGAAGCCTGTCCCGCACAAGATTGGCCAATAGTTCAGGACGCTTGCCGGTTCGGTATCAAGCCGAGATCTGATTGGTCGAAAGTCTGGACCCAAGAGCCAATCATGACCCAGTATTGGCCGAATGCGGTTGCCGATGTTTCATCCAGGAGGTTGTCGCCGCTTACAATGTATGGATGAAGTGCTGTACCAGTGTTCTTGATTCGGTTTTTGGCGTTAATACACCTTGTGCATCTTCGGTGGTTGTTTTTGAGGTGAAGGCTAGCTTGGGAGGCTAAAACCGAGAACTAAGCTGGGGAAAGTACCGTTACTACACAGTCCTCAAACAGAAACTTGCATTACAGCGGGGAAACATACAAACCAGACGTTCAACACCGAATGCTTGCCAGTCTAAGATATTCTGTCTCCTTCGAGTGAAACTACCAATCAGAGTGATGCCACCTGAGAACTCCAAATAAAGAGCTCTACAAAGAGGCGAAGAAGTCCCACACGTCTGTTACGTTGTCATTCCAAAGCATCTTAGGATATTATCGACCACGAAGTTGGAGAGGCACCGGGAGGTGAAACGCAGCCGTACCCATCCTGCCACAGATCGCCTTCCAGAGGTAGCGGTACTTCAAAACATAACTGGAGCCAACACATTTTTCCGCAGGAAAGTAAGCTGAGATGCTTGTGACAACAATATGAGGCCCCTCAGTCCGTCGACTGGTGTCGCACCACAGAGCTTTCTGAAATAAACTGTACCTTCCGAGAACACTAACAACCAGCGGGTACACAGGAACATACGCCTCCATGCACAACCAGCAGTCGCATCATGACAAGCATATCGGCTACGCACTTCGAGTTGTAATGATAAAAGCCACTGATTTACGGTCATCATCATCATCAAGGACAGCAACATCAGTGTTGCCACTGATGTTTCGCTGCCGTAGATTTACGGTCGAACATTGGCGTAGACGAGCGCCAATAAGAGCGAATCAGTATCATTGACAACCTCGTCGGTTATGAATGAGTAAAGCAAAAAGCTATTTTATAGGTAAAGGCATCGAAGGACCAGTGTCAAAGTTAATGTTGCCATCTACGACAGTGAAAAGGTGCATGAGAAGCCACACGACACATAATAAAGATACTAAAGACTTAAAAGTAGTCACAACGATTAACGTAATCAAAGCTGCTAACTTGTACGGCATCTTCTGGACAAACTTCAAGGCCTTCGTCGTACAGCTGTATGGCTTTAGCATATTGTCCTGCTTTGAAAAACTTATTTCCTCGATTCTTCAGAGCGATTGCTGACTCCAGGGGAGTTTTGGGAACAGACTCGGCCTCGGTCGAGGATGCCTGGTCTGAAAGGAAAAGAAACGGAGGATCCACGTGAACGGGTAAAAGAGCGCTATAGAGACAAACCGAGAGCCAAACCGAGGCAACCTCATTGCTAGAATGAAGATATAAGACAAGGTACTAAATCGAACAGGACGAGAGTTGACGAACCACCTAAAATGGGAAGGTAGATGGGGCCTGAAGAGTATACTAATCCGTTGGGTTACACCGTCCGGAACTCGTCAGCATTTATCAATGCCAAGCAGGTCCATGACGACCATCAGTATTACTGTTATTATCATCATTATGGGCGAAAACAAGGAATCAATAGTGTAGGATGAAATATAGGTGACCGTGACTAAATGGAGTTAGAGGGAATGAAACCGTCCAGCTGTAGCACCCTTTCGGTGCCTAGCTGCCATGCTACACGAAGGAAGCACGAGAGCTGGGATACCACCAGTTGTCCAAGCCTAGACAAGAGGAGTCGAGAAGCAGAAGTCTGGTTCAACCCACGGACCTTACGTCAGTAAATTCGCGCTCTAACCACTGAGCCATATCGACTAAGAGAAACTGAAATCCAGAAGCGAAGCTAACGAAAGTTAGCCCGCCAGATAATAGATACAAATTTGCCACAGAGTATGACTTACTTCTTATGGAAAGTCTTTCCAAGTACCGCTAGTGATCATCGCATGGTCGTAAACCCAATAAATACTTGCCAATTTTGCAGTGATGCGGTCGAAGACTAAATGATTCATGTGCACACCATCGGCTAACCATCACTCCGTGAAGCTGGAGCCATTGTGTCCCCTGCATTTTATCGTCAATCATTAAATAGCCACTGTGGCATTCCTCAGGTGACTAGCTGTCATGCTACCCGAAGGAAGCACGAAGTCTGAGATTTTTCCACCGTCAATCACGAAGCTGAAGAAGGGTATGGAAGAACAGATACACTTGACAGACTGCACAGGATGAGCGATGTCCTCACTCGGTATCTTGAAAGAACATAGTATTCGTGTATGATGACACACCTAAATGATGCTCTCTGATGAAAAAGATTAAGGTCAGGAAGAATCGATGAATCTTGCTCACGCCTAGAGAAGAGCAGTCGAGATGCAGATGTCCATGGACCTTCCAGGTTACGTCTTTAGCCACTGAGCCATTTCCATCTGGATCAGTGCTAGGTGGAAAATCTCCATCGGTTTAGATGTACTGGCTTTCACTTGCTGATTCACTATATGCGTGATACGTGATCGGAGAAACACGTTTAGTAAAAACGACCTTTAATATATCTTTGTCACAGGTGGGGCAAGATGGCTCAGTGGGTAGAGCGCGAATTTACTGACCAGAAAGTCCGTGGTTGGAACTCGACCTCTACCTCTCAACTTCCCCTGTCTAGGCTTTGGCAGCCTGGCAGTATCCCAGCCCTCGTGCTTCCTCCGGGTGGCATGGCAGCTAGGCACCAAAAGGGTGTTACAGCTGAACGATTATCTTATTTTTTTATCCTTATCACAGGTGGCTGATTGCGACAGATTCAGTTTGAGGGTTGTGGACCCAAATACTTGGAGATGGTACGAACGATGGATAGATTAGGACATACAGATATGTTGATGAATTTACCCCCACTATCTGGTCGGGTATTGTCCATAATGAAACGGCCTCCCAAGCACACCCCAGTGGACGGTCAAAACGGGCATTGTCTTCAAGTAATTACGTCATATGACGTTATAATGTGGCGAAGATAACATGGTAGTCGGTTCGATTCTTTATTCCGCGAATCAGAATTGAAGTCAGAAGGAGCGTGGGCAGAAAGTATGACCAGCATACGATAAAGTGAAAATAATAAAATAAAAATCAACATCCGTGTTGAATAGTCAGTACTGTAGACGGGTGATAAACTAAATTAGGAAGGACCAGGCGGGCGATGTTGTAGGGTGACGAGGGGAGCGTGCAGATTACGATCGGCAAGTGCGTTAACGGTGGTATTAACCAATTCCAACTGATACAACAAGAGAAGATTAGCGATCACGCCAAACATTGTGCAGTGGGACGTGACGTTGTGACGTAATGATTAAAAAACGTGGAACTAGAACACACACAGTCTACTAAGGTCGACTAGTATACACACTTCCAAATTTCTGTTCCACTGTGATACACAGACAGGCGAACCAAGTAGCTCAGACGACGCTTTCGAAATTCATACTTCTTAAATTCCCTTAATGACTCAGAAGTCATGGTACAATAACTTCCCAAATCTGTTTCTGCACACTGTCAAATTCCTCCAGGTTAACAAAAAATCTTTTCCAAATCCTCTGCACCAGTGAGCGTTTTAAATTTGATGGAATATTTCGTGTTCTTGAGGAAACACCGCTGTTTTGGAATACGACAGTACGCATACATCCACGGTAATCATCAAAGTATCTACTATACAGCCATTCCTCCTCTTCGACAGTTCAGATGTACTGCGACTTTCGTCCCCAGTATATATATCTCTCTCTGGTCGCCACCTTCTGTACAGTAGATTACGCAACCTACCTTCTATATAAACACAGTTTTAGTTGGTGCAGCTCTTCATTCGCACGCACTGTTGATCCGATGAAGCTGACTCAGTCGAAGTTACAGCTCCAAAGGATAACTTATTTGCATCCACTCCACTTGAAAGAGAAAAGGCCTTATGGTTGCTAACTTGAAAACTTCTGTACGCTATCAACAAGATGTTTCCGACTGCTAATTTGGACGCAACAGCCGAGTAACTGTAGACACAGGCCATTCTTCCGGCATTTCCCTCGTCTTCCAAATGCCATATGTGGGTCTAACCAGACTGATAACCACCAAGCGCGAATTGCATAAAAAAGGCACTGAACGACGGTCACCGAGTAATGTTCTGAATCGACCCACCAAGACCCTTAATTAGTTCAGATGGTTCATGAACATGGCCCGACCTAAAGCTGCCATATTGACGTTATGGCCGGGCTTGAGTGCTGCAACGATCCCGACTACATTGATTGGAATTTCGTTCCACAAGAAGCAACCATGCCAGGAAGGCCACAGGGTAGCAGTTAGACCAAGAGCAACGAGACCCCGTACTACGAGTAATCGTAATACGAGGCGATCTGAGGATAAGTCGTATTGTCCTCTACGACAGGAATGTGAAGGTAATAAGGTGTTTACTCCGGGGGGACCAGCATGCCCATATTAATGGAGGCGGCGATGCTACCTTCCTCCGAGGAAGGGCGAGTTACAAAAAGGTCGGTCCCAAAAGCCACACAGTCCTACCGCCCAACAGCCGGCGTATCATCCAATACGATCGAAATACTTTTAAAACTAAAGAGTCCGGTGCTGCCCAACAGGCACCTGCTGTGCGCAGCCGCATCGGGAATGAGACTATGATGCCTTATTTCATGGGCCCTCCAGTTAGGCCAATCCCATACAGCCTAGCAGGTCAAACTGTTGAATCACCGGGCATGGTCACCAAAGAAAAACTCTACATCGTCCCACTGCTTTGTGGGTCAGACTTTTGAGTCAAAGGCTCAGGGTAGGGTACCTCAACCAAACCCCATTCCTCGGCCTGGGTGACCAAAAAGTATCATTTGCCCGCGCAATTCGGTGTCCACCGATATCCCTTCCCACCACAACAGCAAACGTCGCTGAGTCATTTGACTGTCAGTTATCTGACCGAAGGGTCTTATGCTCCTCACTGCCTACTAACAAACTCACAAAATCCTTTCTATATAGGAGCTTTTAACGTCCGTACTCAATGCCGAATTGGCAAACAGGCAATGCTTGCTGAGACCTTATACTCTTTTAAAACTGATGTATGCTGTGCTTCCGAAATAAGACCCAAGCGTGGTTATGCATCTCAGAACGCTAAGGATGAACTCAGCTTTTTCACATATCTCCCTCCGTGTGTCCGATGACCCAGAAGCGATGACTCATGGAATATATGGCGTGAGAGTTGCACCCAGCCCCAGAGCTAAACGCACTATGCTGGATTGGATCCAAGTGAACAGTCGCCTTTGCGCCGTCCGGTTATCCAGTTTAATCAAAGTCAATGCCTCTCGGCATAAAAAGCGGTGCCTGATTGTAGTGTCGGCTTATATCCCGACAAACTGCAATTCTGATACTGAGAAGGATACTTTCTATCGAGAGCTATTCGGACTCATTCGTCAAGCGAAAAGCACTGACATTGTGATCCTTGCAGGCGATTTGAATGCTCAAGTAAGTCATCTGAGCTCCTTGGAATCACATTTGGGCGGTCGATTCGGAGTCGATGCTTGCCACACAGCACACAACTGAAGGAAATCGACTCCTTAACAGTCCACTGTCTGATGTATTTACGTACCAATTTATCAGCTCCCGCCTCCAATGCATAGCCACCTACTCCACCTCCCCAAATCCTCGGTGAAAGAAACTGCGGCAGCTACAAGCACTGTACAAGTACGTGGTATTTACAGTTGACAATGATGATGACGATGTAGATGTGCATTGGAGGTGGTAGCTGATGTAATTGATGCATCCATATAAAGGTTTCAGTATACTTTTTTATTGGGGAGATCGGGAGGGAGGTATGCACTGAAGGTAACAGCTTGGAGTCGCTCGCCACCTTCTCTACAGTAGATTACGCAACCTATCTTCTATATAAACACAGTTTTAGTTGGTGCAGCTCTTCATTCGCACGCACTGTCGATCCGATGAAGCTGACTCAGTCGAAGTTACAGCTCCAAAGGATAACTTATTTGCATCCACTCCACTTGAAAGAGAAAAGGCCTTATGGTTGGTAACTTGAAAACTTCTGTACGCTATCAACAAGATGTTTCCGACTGCTAATTTGGACGCCACAGCCAAGTAACTGTAGACACAGGCCATTCTTCCGGCATTTCCCTCGTCTTCCAAATGCCATATGTGGGTCTAACCAGACTGATAACCACCAAGCGCGAATTGCATAAAAAAGGCACTGAACGACGGTCACCGAGTAATGTTCTGAATCGACCCACCAAGACCCTTAATTAGTTCAGATGGTTCATGAACATGGCCCGACCTAAAGCTGCCATATTGACGTTA